TATGGAGTTTCCTCTACCGAGTCAGTAAACTGCAGAAATAATTAATAAATGGAAGAAATTCACTGGATTCATGGAGTTTTCCCGCGTATATTTTCCTAGGATAAAGCGCGTGGCTGCAATTTCGATCATATTTCATACCGGTCAGTATCAAAAAGTCGTAGAAGTAACCGTTTCTACTACTATGTATGTCGAAAAGTTTCGTAGCATGCGGTGAACTCAAAGTGCCCATAGCTCCGCATATATGTCGCAGGCTCCGTCGAGCTAAAATTCAGGAATGCATTCGTTACGTTTGGAATGAACGCCTTCATTGGTCACTAAAATGCGCCTGGGCACTCTCTCAGAGCCCATAAACAGTTATCAAAGTGCCAGCAATCCAAATGTCAGTTCACGATCAAGGTATTGCTTGTTTTTGTATTGTGTTGTCCCGTTGAATGTTAACCAAAATTCTGAACTACGTTTCCTGCTTGAAAGGATTACTCAAGTGAGATTGCAATACAACTTTCACAACAAAATCCCAAAGTATTTCAGTCACGTCGGGATACCCGCCTTTAAATAAGCTTCTTTCTGGTCGCCGGAAAAAACTTAACTCTCTAAAAAAGACTAAATTAAGTGATGTGAAATTTTCTTGTTGATTTTCGATGATCTTATGAATTCAAACATATATTTTGGAAAACATGTATGAAATATTCGTTCTTTTACTTCTTCGGTAACAAATTACATTTTTTACTTTGATAATAGGAAAAGGAGTTTCTTCCGGTTTAAAAACTTCCTAGTTTTGACATTACCCGAGGCCGTAAAATGTCCAGTCATAGAATCTCACACGTTTACATTTGCTACCGTTGCTTGTAAAGTGTGCAATACGGATCAAATCCACTTCCGAAATTTTATGAACCCCATACGACAGTTTCCTAATAATGTGTAAAAATGCACAATCTTCCTTACACGGAAAATAAGCAGCTTGTGATTCGGAAACCCTAGATGTAATAATGAAGTCAGTTCGGGTTAAAAATTATCCAGAAATTCAAAACGTTTTTATAGTCCTATATAATACAATCTTTTTAATATAAAATTTAAAGGATAAATAATTTTTTCCCAATGAGTAAAAGCATTAATATTTTGTGCATGTATTCTCTGAATTATATTTAAATTTACAAGTTCATAGAAAATCCGCAAGAAAAATTCATGTTATTTAAACAGTAATTTTTCTGAGTATGGTTTTCACAGACGACCGGGAAGGACCTCGTATCAAATCCAGCATTTTGAAGTGAGTGAGATACTTTCGGAGTTTTCTATCTGCTAGTTAATATTGCAGACCTATTTAAGTAATTTTTTCGAGTCAAAAAACAATTTCAGAATCTTGGACATTTCCTTAGGTAGCAAGCCTACTGCAGGTACAGCGTTAAGCAACAGTACCCCCAACTACAGTACGTGGGCTAACTCATAAAATGTCAACCGAAATTTTGAAATGCGGTTTTGTTTCGAAAAGCTTAATTAAGTTGGGTTGTAAAACTGCTCGTCGTGTAGCATAATTCTATAATAATTCAATTACCCCAGGACGCCGGCTTTCGAAAGAACTTCTTTTCGGCTGCAGGCAGAAAAAATTAATACTTAAGTACCATGCATTTTCCTTATTGATTTCCGATGCTCTTAAAAATCCAGTTATATTTCATAGAAAACATGCATAAAAATATTCGTTCTTTTACTCATTCGGTAGAAAATGACGTCGTTTTCCAATTTTGTATTGTTAGGAAGAATATAATTCGGTTTTTAAAACCCTTTCCAATTCCCGAGTAATTCTAAACCCGACCTGCCGTTACGCTTGCTTTCGGGGTTTCCTAATTACAAGCCGTATATTTTCCGCGTATGTAAAACCGTAAATTTCTCTGCGGTATTAAGGGAAGATTTTATAGGGTTCATAAAAGTTAACAGTGGATTCGAGCCGCATTGTTGACTTTACAAGCACATTGGTGAATGCTGAAACATGACGTTTTATGAACGGCCATTTCACGGTTTTTAAAAATCTCACAATTAGAAACTTCTTTAAAACCTAATTTTACCCTTCCTTCGAGTATAAAATTGGAGGAAAACGTCATTTTCTACCGAATGAGTGAAAGAACGAATATTTTTGTGCATGTTTTCCATGAAATATAACTGGATTTTTAGGGCCATCAAAAATCTATAAGGAAAATGCATGCTACATAAGTATTTATTTTTTACAGAGTGTAGTTTCTGCCTGCAGCCGAAAACAAATTTTTTCGAAAGTCGGCATCGTGAGATAAATGAATTTTTATAGAATTATGCTGCACGACGAATAATTTTACAACCCCGCTTGATTAAGCTTTTCGAAACGAAAACGCATTTCAAAAGTTCGGTTGACATTTCATAAGTTAGCCCACCTGCTGTACGTTGTCAAATAACCAACTTCTTGGACCTAGGCAGTTTTAGAAATAGGGTTTTTGTATATTTATTGAGACGCCGGCCGTCCTTTACTGACTTTTCTTATTTTGCTTTCGCCTATCTTCTGGAGGCCAGTAACGTCTTTCTAACCTTAATTCTGTCCCATCCAACTAGTTGTTTAAATAGGGAAGAGAAATTAAATTTTGCTGGCAGAGATGTCTCAGAGAGATGTATCAGGCGGTATACGCGCTTAATGTGGTCTCAGAGAGTTGCGGCTGTGGTTTCTATTGTCTGCAGTAGTAGGATTCAGCAAGATCCTTGTGACACGCATCATGCAACGCGACAACCACGGGAGCCTTAATTGAGGTAAGACGGCGGACTCAGTCGTTTCAACACTATGATGTTTGCGGTGACCCATGCTTTAATGTTAAAAAACCGCCGTTTTAAGACACTTTTCCGATGGTGTGTATTACTATCCTTGGTAATTTCTGCTTTGGACCTAAGTGCCAAAATTGCCCTTGTATGCGCCAACGCTTATAGCAGTTGTTCTAGTACTTAGCTCCCCCCACCTCCAAATAGCCCGAGTCTAGTCTACTAGATTCATGCTCATTTCAACTAAGGGGTGTTCCTGGCTGCGTAGAATTGCCAACACTCAAGAATATATCAAGCATAAAAGATGAAAAACGGTGCGTTCGTTTACTTTAGAAATAGCACTTCCTCAGTAACACTTTTTCATAGGCGTCTTTAACCAAAACGCGGTGTGTTGGAGAGTTGAGACACGCATGCATCGTAAATGCACAATATACTGATGGTTTCATCCCCATCGCCTGAAAAATTGAGAGAATTCTGCTAGGAGAACGCCACCTCCATCGGACCTTTTGATGAGTTTAATCAATTTGCCTTCGTACTTGTAAAGGTGCTATTCACAGGCAACATAACCGAATGGGGTGAGGCTACTCCAAGGATTGTCCCTCCATCTTCGACCAGCATTTCCACTGGCGGTACTCTGGAGAGAGTTTTCTGCCATGGCAGGATGATTTAAAATGCTGTGTTATCTTCGTAACGTCAGGTTACAGAAAAGTTTAGGCGAAATTTCATTACTTACAAAGGCAATGGAGACTAGAATGGGCATTTCCGGATTATTTGTCATCAATAATCAGCCAAACCCGGTTCTAGGTTTCGCAACCCCTGAGGCGCAATTCCCCCACCCGGCGGTTAAAAGAGAAAAACCTTAACCGTCAAGTCGAAGTAGGTGAGTATTACCCACTCACTGTCTGTTCCTTCTGGACACAAACACTTAAGATCGTGGATGGACTTGAATACGCCTTCTAATAATGCATTAAAATGAAATAGGTAGAAGATCTCCTTCTTAGAGCAAAATACCCCGAATTACAGTATATTTGAGAAATAAGGTTGTTTTAGCTAATTAACCTAATTTCGCAAAAGCGATGGCCAATCAACATTTACGTTATACAAAATTATAAACTGTGTTTTCGATTAAGAAGGATCGATTAAGTGGGGTTGGAATAGCAAGTACTTGCGGCATAATCCTGTGATATTTCGGACACCCCAGGACGTTGACTTTTGAATGCGTCTCTTTTCGGCTGCTTAAAAAAGCCACACTCAATAAAAATGCCTACTTAGGTAGTAAGCGTTTTTCCGTTCGTTTTCGATGCCCCTGCAAACTCAAATATTTTGATCGACAAATGTAAAAAAAACCTGCTTTCTTGTACTCATTTCTAGGCAAATCGCGTCTTCTACTAATCTGATACTCGAAGAAAGGGCATCTTGAGGTTCTGAAAAAGTTTTTAAATTTTCGAGTAGTTTCGAGCTTGATCTGCCGCTGCATTTGGGTTTAGGGTCTTCAGTCTATAAGCCGCAGAATTTTCGTGTAAGGAAAACATACATTGCCGGTACAAGCGAAGGTGCGAGTTCCAGGAACTAGTTGATAAGAAGCGACCGCTGGAACAAGAGCTCTATTCGCCTGATGTTTCGGATTCCAGCTCGAATCCATTATAAGAGACAAAAGCAGATAGGGTGATTCATGCATATGCGGCTGCAGTATTTATAGGATGCAGTCGCTATGCTACTGCATACCTATGATAATTAGCCGCTCTCCCCTTCATTGGGACTTGTTGCCCACTGGTGCGCTAATGGCTTGAGGTCCGGCGTGAAAGTTTTAAATCACTGAAATCTCACCATATCACCCGTGTTGGATGCTAGCGTGATGATTGCTCGGCCATCTGGCTCACCAGCCTGCGCGCTCCCCGGGGTTAAACCCTTTGGCCAGACTATGCCTCAGCCACGAATATGAAGTTGGGATGTCGTTGCCCTTGTTGATAGACTAGGGCCCCGTGAACCATGACATAAGCAACTCGCGGACCACGCGATTATCATCTCTCTCGAGAATTTCGGCTTCATCGACCTTTAATGTGTGGCCGGATCTTCTACGTCGAATGGGTCGCGAACTCAGACTTCGCGTCATTTCTCCGCACCGCTGCCGCGTGTTCGGCGATTCGCGTCCGGAGCAGTCTTCCAGTTTCTCCGACGTAGTTGCTCTGTCCGCAACTGCACCAGCTCCGGAAAACGACTCCAGATGTTTTTTACCGTGGAAGTGGGTCTTTTGGTCCCATTACCTGACGCCTTATGGTGGCCTCCGGTCTGTGTGCAAATCCAACGTCAAGCGGTGCAAGAAGGCAAATAACGGCCTCGGAGACGTTCTTGATGTACGTGATCGCTCGCCAGAATTTGGGGTCGGTAAGATTTTGTCGCTCGTCTCGTTGGCGCATGAACCGGTTGACAAAGTTGTGCGGATAACCATTTTCCCTGAAAACCCGTCGAATATATTGGAATTCGGCAATCTGGTCTTCCGGTTCACTGCGGTGCGTCTCAACACGCCGATATGGCGTCCTTACGCAACTGCGTTTGCGGCTGATTGGGTGGTTGCCGTTGATGTTTAGTATTTGTGTCGTGCTCGTCGCTTTTCTGAAAACTTTGGTCTTTAGGCCCCCACACTCTTTGCGACAGGCGAGGACATCTAGGAAGGCCAGCAGGTTATTTTCTTCTTCCTTCATCGCAAATTGTATGTCGGGGAAGACGCTGTTGAGACGTTCTTTGAACGTTAGCACCTGGCCCCGTCCGATGACGACGAAGGGATCGTCAACATACCGAACCCAGAATTTCAGTCTGTGGTAGTGGGAGACCATCGACTCCTTTCCGTTGTAGGACTGTCTCGACGATGTATCCCGAAATCGGCGAGCCTATTGGTGTTCACTTCACCTGTTCGTAGATTATTCCGTCAAACGTGAAGTACGTACTTGGAGAGAATTTTAGTAGCTGAAGGACTTGGGCATATCCGAGGCGATTCTCCGTCTCATTGTTTTTGCTATGTAGGAGTAGTTCGACGGGGAAGGGAGCAGAAATGGGCTCGCGGATTTCGGGCTTCATTGCCGAGGCAGTCCTACAACGGAAAGGAGTCGCTGGTCTTCCGACATCACAGACCGAAATTCTGGATTCGGTATGACGACGATACATTTGTCCTCATCGGACGGGACCACCATTGCCAACATTGCGAGCACTTTTTCTTCGGGTACACATAGTGTATCCCGATGGAGTCTATAGTTTGACTTATGGGGAAGATTACTATTAAACTCAAGTCATGAGTGCGGAAAATATTGAAAAGAGAGTAGGGATGGTGGCATAAGCAAGCAAAACCAACGATAAACTTAATCATATTCAGGACAAATGAACGAGGAACGTTAACTTTATTTTTTGTTAGACAAATCTCCAAAATGTCTACAATTGTTCTCACTAAAGCATCGGAATGAAGGGGATGTAAGACTCATAAAGACAAAACTCAATCCGGACTGGTGTTCCTTTGTTGCTAAGGTGTCGTTTAGCAAATAGACCTCAAATTCATTGCAGTAGCGAAGGGATTCAAATGCTCCTAGAAAACCGGGATGATTTCTTTGTTTT